ATACAAAACTTGAGCCAAAGAGAGTGCAACTCAGATGATTTCCCCATGATGTTCAACTGTTCAAATGTGACCCTAATTGAGCCACAGTATTATTAGTTTTATGTAGGCTTAAAAATTATTAAAGAAATTTATGCTTAAGCTGTACTAGCAGGTAAGTCATTGATTCTTGAAGCCTTAGAAGAACAATATTCTTGGACAGATCACAGAAAAGAAAACATTTTTTTCGTCAGTGCCTGCAAGAACATTGAATTGAATTGAATTGAATTGAATTGAATTGAATTGAATTGAATTCAATTGAAGGCCCAAATTATACCCATGTAAAAATGTTTTCCAGACCAATGTTTCTTTGGCACATTTATAATCCATAGCTGAAAAAGGAATGTCACATATGTTATGAAATCTTTCTAGACAGTCCACAGAATGGCCATGTAAAAATTCTTAAAACAATCTTGTCCACAGATTAGTCACTCCTGCAACAGAGTTTACAGTACCTAAACTAGTTGAAGCAAACTATGTATTTCAGGTAGCTCCGTGTAGGCTACAATGCAGCTGGGGAAGCAGGAAGATGTAAAGGGCTAGTTAGACCATGCTGTGCTGTATGCTTTAACACCTACCCATCTGGCATCAGGAAAGCTAACTAGCTCTAAACTAGATTGGGTATGCCCAATTTTACATTTGCTAGCTCATTTTACATTCGCACTAAGTCTATTTGATACCTCCAATGACACTATACATGATCTGAAAGTGAGCATAAATTATACCTGTCCCCTTGATGAACAATTTTTATCAGTCTAGGAAACAAGATGAAATCTTATCATGTATTCCCTCCATCCAAGGGGTTGGAAAAATCTGTAAGCTCAAATATGTGGACATAAAAAATACACAGTGGAAGAGAAGGGTCTAGAATGCTATAAGGGAGCTTCAGTGTGAACAGGAATTAGGCTCTTTAAGGACAGGTCTACACAGATAATTTCAGACAGTCAGGAATTAACATTGCCATTTACTGAGCTGGCAGGACATGAAGCAACTTTTGATCAGACGCCTATGTAAAGATGTACAAAAACCTCAAAACACTAATGCTATCTCAGCCTCTGGAATGACTACTGCTTTTTCTTTGTTCTGCCTTCTTATGACGGAGTGAAGGAATTCAATGCTTCACGGAATTCAAGTGTCATTTGTCAATGAGATTCTTAGAGCAAAGCAAAAATTCAAATAATCCCATATCTTAACTACAGACAGCGTACAAAAAGTGTGTGGCAAATAATTTCTTCTTTGTTAACAACTTGTACACACATAGTCTCACAGCTAATCTAGAATTCTGTAATGAAAGCAGATATGCATTCAACAGAAACACACAGAAATACAACACAAATGTGTAGGACTGTATGATATCACAATATTCAGTATTAACTTAGTAAACTATTAGTTACAAATCCCACTGTTCTGATCTTTGTTCTAGACCATCAACTAGAAGTGTTAAAATAGAATGGGCCTGACTGACACCAATGAAAGACACCATTATATACGCTGGATCTACTGTTAACCCTTTTAGGTTACTTTTAATACACACAGCCAATTGTTTAAAACACATCTTTACATAACAAGATTTATGGGTTTTTTTCTAATATAAAGTATACAATCATATATATATATAAAACATGTATATTATATGAGTTTCAGTGATGTTCTAGACTGCAAACTCACTAACTTGAATGTTTTGGTTCCTGCATTTTGATTCTAAGGATTAGTTCTAGGGCTTCTTGTTCCTCCCATTATGTATCAGTCCTGCCAAAAGTGTTACACTAGCAGCCATGCCTCAGAGGCAGACGAAGATCTACCCTGTAGGCCTTGAACATGCTATTTTCTCTTACATGTCATTCTTCAGTCTGTATGTAGGAATAATAAAAAAAAAAATCGTGATATCACCTTCTAGGAGCTAGACTGGGTTTTGCAAACTTCTCCCTGCCTTCCCTCCCAAATTTCCACAAACTGTATTCTCCTATGGTTAGGCAAAAATAATGAAAAATAAAATTAAGCTCTAAAATTTTGGATGCAATGTGGAGAAGATGGAGGTTATTGCATACTCCAAAGCTTGCATACTGGATAGGTCTTCTTCTGCTGGATAACTAAATTTCTTCTCTGAGACTTGGAGTTTTGAATGTAATCCAAGCTCCCAATCTGATCTTGTATGTCTGTGGTCTAATTCTGCAGTTTTGCTTGTAGGGTAGAGAAAAAGATTAAAGGATTAAAACTCTCAAAGGTAAGAAAAAATGCTTACATTTTTCTGTGACAATCACAATATTCAAGAGCTGGGGATTAAATAACACATGATGTTCTAAAGGGAAAGATACACCATAGTTGCCAGTGAAATCTTAATGAGTCCAATCATGAGCTTCTCCAAGAAGTGTTTTACATATTGTTGCAAGTCAGAATACAAAACTCTTTAGTAGGAGAATGCTGACATACTGCTAAGGCTCTAGCTTTGATGGGGAACACCTTGAGGTCTTTAGTAAAAAGGAATACTACTCCATGTACAGGCCTAGAAGTAAAAACAAGAATGTTGAACTTCATCTAGGAATCTGCTCATACCACATTTCCACAATTAAACATAGATTGTGAGACAGCACTAGACAATCAATTTCAGTTTACACTGCCTCTACTTTCCAAAAAAACCCACGTAGACATCTGTGTCATCTTTGGTGCAGCTGACAAAGTTCACTGGCTTAGGAACCATAAATAAGTAGGTGATTCATTAACACTAAAGTAATTTTTTGTCTGCCAGAAGAAATGGAAACTGCTCAGTCAATCAAGAGATATCAAAAAGACAACTGGATTTTCATCCATTTGTAGGGTGAGGTCATCATCTAGTAAAACCAGCTGTTGTGGTTTAGCCCCAGTCGGCAACCAAGCACCACACAGCTGCTCGCTCACCCTTCGCCTGGTGGGATGGAGGAGAGAATCTGAAGAGCAAAAGTAAGAAAACACGTGGGTTGAAATAAGAACAGTTTAATAATTGAAATAATAGTAATAGTAATGTAGTGGTAGTGGTCGTGGTAGTAGTAGTAGTAGTAGTAGTAGTAGTAATAATAATAGTAATAATAATAATAATAATAAAAATGGTAATGAAAAGGAAAACAACAAGAGAGAGAGAGAGAGAAACAAAACCCAGGAAAAACAAGCGATGCAACTGCTCAGCACCTGCCGACTGACACCCAGCCTATCCCCGAGCAGCAATCGCTGCCCCCTGGCCAACTCCCCCGTTTATATACTGGGCATGACGTCATATGGTATGGAATAGCCCTTTGGCCAGTCTGGGTCAGCTGTCCTGGCTGTGCCCCCTCCCAGCTTCTTGTGCACCTGGCAGAGCATGGGAAGCTGAAAGTCCTTGATTTAGTGTAAGGACTACTCAGCAACAACTAAAACATCAGTGTGTTCTCAACATTATTCTCATCCTAAATCCAAAACACAGCACTATACCAGCTACTAAGAAGAAAATTAACTCTATCCCAGCCAAAACCAGGACAGCAGAGCATGGGAAGCTGAAAAGTCCTTGACTGGTGTAAGGACTACTCAGCAACAACTAAAACATCAGTGTGTTCTCAACATTATTCTCATCCTAAATCCAAAACACAGCACTATACCAGCTACTAAGAAGAAAATTAACTCTATCCCAGCCAAAACCAGGACACCAGCATACAGAAGACAATATCTTTGGTTTTGAGTACAAAAATGAAGCACAGAAAAAGATTTTAAACCTAAACTCTCTGCAATACATATTTCATACTGCCAAATACATATGCAACCATTTGGTGATTCCTTATTGCTATAAAAAAGTAATTTATGAAAAGTGACTGCTGATGCAAAAAACCAGCCAAGCAAACAAACAAAAACCCATCACCGAGTAACAAGAACCACACAAAAAATGTCCGTAAGTCCCCCATTGAATCACAAGCTCACCATAAGATATCATTCTCAGTTTATTTACATTGCTAAGCGTGAACATGTATTTTTCCTTATTTCATTCAGAAGTCTTTTATAACTAAAGCCCCAAATCTACAATCAATGGAGTGTAGGTACAGAAATTCCCCTCCATGCTGCCATTAGCAAGACTAGAAAGATCTACGACTTGATCCAAAGTCCAATAATGTCAGTGAGGAGTTTTCCTACTTCCTTTAATGGGTTTAGAAAGGGCATCTGAGGTCAGCAAGCTGCACTCCTTATTCTGTCAGAAATTCCACTGAGGCAGTGCAGTACCAGTCTCCACATAATTACATACATCTTCTTCCTGAAACTGAGGTCAGTCATATTAATCGTACTTTCATGAGAAAACGACTTTTGGCATCAAACTAGCTTTGTAAAACAGAAATAAAATACATACTATACGTCGGTTATGGCAATGTTTTGCACTACTCTAAAAAGATGCACCGTTTAGTTTTGAAACTTTTCTATTGCTAGAGCTGGAGTTGTTTATAAATGACTGAAGAAATGCCTGTCGACACTCTTATGTTTCAGTACTGATTCTTCTGTTATACATCAAAAGTAGTAAGAAATAATAAGCTCCTCATGCTCACCTGAGGCAGTACACTTTGGCGTATACTTTGGAAACAGAGATGGATTTGTATCTATATTCAATTAAATGTTTTCTCCATTTTTTAAAATACCAAAAATACTGATAAATTACATCGACACATGAAGCCAAATTTAAAACAGACATAACAGGTAAATGTTTTCATCATTGCTGCAGTTATCTAGAACTTCAATCACAGACTACTAGAAAATATAATGACATAAAAATCATAAATAAAACCAATTTTTCCCAGGGATTTTTTCCCTCCCATATTTGCAATCTGATGATTGTAGTAAAATAAATAAACAAAAGAACATAATCCACAAATACTTCTATCAAGCATAGTTTCAGATCAATCTTGAATCAATGATACAATCCCAAATTATTAGAATATATTTGTCATTTACTGGATTGAGATTTGCAGCTTCACAAATCACACTGTATCAGAGGTACTGAGAATGTCAGTCTCTTTGTTTTCCTCTGTAGTGGTTGGCTCTTCCTTTAATAAAATGCTTAACTGTTTCTGTGCACATGAGAGGAAAAGTTCCAAACTATACAGATTTCTCTGACGGACAACTTGATCAAGCTGTTGAAATAAAAAAAAAAAAAAGAAAGATAGATCAACTTTAAGAAAACCTGGAAATAAATGCCAGGGTTTGTCAGCAAAAATTCAACCATATTCAACAACAAAAATTCAACAACCAAATGTGACAACAACAAAGGACCTAAGTAACTTCTATGCATGCAATGTAGTAACAACTTTTTAATGAAGCATTTGAGTTTCTTCAAAATAAAATGTACATAAGGCTAAAAGTAACTTTCCAACAGCTGTTAAAGTCTACACAAGAAATCTGAAAAAGCTAAACAGCCTAGCTGCCACACTAGATAAATCCCCATAGCATTTTTTAAAATTGCAGCTGTTGCTTTTATAGAAGACACTGCTTCTGCTTTAAAATGAACACTACATACAACTGCATATTCAAAACTTCAAAGTCTACTGTTAATTTAAATGGCAGCATGTTTAAACAGTTCCCAGAGGCAAAGTGGTAATATTTTCTGCCTACTTTGTTTATTCCAGCATTTTATTGGAGTCCCCTACTGTCAAACAACGTGAACTATGTACTTACTTGCAGTAAAGACAATGGCCCTTTCTTGGCCACCAAAAAAGATGAGAACACAATAACAAGACTTGGTAAGTTATGTGATATAAATGACATATAAAAATACAGTTCACCGAAAGGTATTTGCATTTTTTAATATTGTAACATTAATAAATAAAATGCACTGCAGGATTCCTTTCATTTGAATTTTGAAGTTCAAATGTCAAACAAATAATATCACAATTGAGAGATGTTTTCAACTTGAATATCTTTTAATCAGCCAGAAATTCAACTAAATACATATATAACAATGACATAGTGTGAGACTGAAAGGCAGTGGTACAAGGCTAATAGGACATAAAAGTTATACCACTCAAGAGAAAGGAAGTAACTGAATTTGGAAGAAGTCCAGCTCCACACTTCCGTCAAACTATTGTGCACAAGTCCATAAGCAATGTCTTGACCTCTGTAACACCAGCAAAATGTTAATGTGAGGCCACATGGCTCCAGCAGACTAGAGCAACTAGTCTCACAGACTGGTGGCAATCATCTGCAAATGCCGTATTTTTTCAAAAAATATATCATGCCTCATGTAACTAGCACTCACAGCTTTAATTACAGCTTTCAACAAAAACTCTGATTCTATGGCATCTCTCTGCACATATATGCTCATCGTTCAGCAGTCCAGTTAGTTGCTCTAACAATCACTTTAATGGACATTTTGTTTTATAACAGATATACTTTAAAAAAATATTAATATAGAATGCAAGGAAAAGTTAGTGATACCTTCCCACTTTACTTTGAAAACACACTCAGGGTATAGCTGCAGCACTGTGATTGAATATACAAAAAGGGAAACATTTTTATGACCCTGTGCTTTGCTGCTCTTTAAGTTTCTCTAACATGCAGAGATGAACGTGTCAAATCTAGTCACAAGCAGAATACACACATATTTTCTAGAAGCCACACAATCTTAAAACTCTCCTTCAGTAATATGTCTGCTTGCACTTCTCTCTCTCCTGCAGATTTCCAGCTCTTGTGCAAATTTTTGCATCTCTTAGTAAAAGTAGACATCAGTGCTCCATACATAGCCTGATGTGAACCTAGCCCACTGATTTACAACAGATTTTAAAGCAGATCTAGTTCAAATAAATTTCAGAAAAGTCTGCTCTTGATATATTTAAGTAACAGCTGCTACTGACAAGAAAATGAAAGACTTGGAAACAGCAAACTAAGCTCTAAAGAAGCTGTATCTAGAAAAGACAGTCTGGAACAAATGAACAACATAAACACACTGTTGTGATGGTGCATTTCTTCTGATCTGAAAGGTATCTTGCCTCCTTCCTCTTCTCTGGTCCAAAATATAAAGAACATTTTGCATGGGGAAGCTTGCAGATGTTTTTGTGCTTGTGACCCATATTTCTCTGGGGAATCGGCAGATATAGTGCAATTCACATAAAATCATCTGTTACGTCTTAAGAACGAACATGAGAAACCTCTTTCTCTAAACATATTATGTCATCAAATTCTGTTGCTTCTGGTAGATAAATCAGTTGGAGAAGCTTAGCATGAAACTGATTTTCAGTGGTTTCCTTTTATTGCATATTATATCATCTATACTCCTAGATAGTTCTTTATTGAGCTTTGACCCAGAGCTTTGGCTAAACTCTCCATTTTCTTTTCTTGCAGCCTTCCCTTGCAGATTCTGCTTTAGAGATCAAAGCAGCTCACCAGATGTATGTTCTGATACGCTGCTGTTAACTTTCTCTACCAAGGCAGCAATCTGAAATTGTATATGGTTAAATTTATTTCACCAAGTACTAATGTAAATGTTTAATGTGTGTAATGATTGGCTGCAATCTGAACAAAACAAAATTTCTTGAGGCTTGAGAAAGATTTTAAAAGTCTCAAATGAATTAAGTACACATTTGAGGAGTCTTTGTTGAACTCAGGTGGTTAGTTGGTAGTCTCCCTTTGTGCGTAAGAGAAGTTTATTGCTTGTTAAAAGTTTATGTAAGTTCAATAACATAAAAATTCAGAATTCAGTTGCCCCCTGTGTGCTCAGTTTATGTATAAGCTTTGCCTTGAGCAGTACATTTTAAAAATCTTCCATGCTACAGTAAATGATAAAACACTCTGAAAAGACTTGGGATCTTCACGTAACACAAAATGAGAAGCAGCAAAATGATGCTGGCTTTGAAAATGGTACATTTGAATGTATTCAGAAGGAACACATTCCCGTTAATGGAGAAATTGACTGGGAAGTAAAACCAAATCCAATGAAGCTTTGTTATATAATATATTGTTTAATGAAGTGTTAGCAACGGACACATTTTTTTGAACAGTGCCTTAACGTTGCTGTGCTTCTGCTTGCACAATATACCATGAGATGTGAAAATATGTAAGTAAGGCATTTGAAATCTTGTTTTTCTAAACAGTCTTCCCTCTATATTTTTAGGTCCTGTTCACTTCATGGAATGATCTCATTATTTAAACAAACATAAATGGACATCTGGCAAATTCAAACTGAATGTGACTCATATGCAAATGTAATCAGTATGAATAACGTATTAGGAATGGAGCATTCGCACAACCAAACCAACCCAACTGTTCTAATTCTATAGATACTGAAAAATGCACCGTGTTGGTCCAGATCTACCACATGAGAAGGTAATTTTCTACATCACACCATCACTGTTGTTATTGCTAATCAATGTTTCTCTTCTACCATGTGAAAACTATCCAGTTCAAAGTTCCAATTCTGTACATTGCGTCCTATTGGCACAGCTTTAATTATCTCAAAGTTTTAATGTTCCTGAACTTCATTATTTTAAGTTACTCAACAGTATCTTTTTAACTCTGTACAGTTGTGGGTTTTTGTTTGTTTGGTTGGTTTTTTTGTTTTGTTTTTTTTTTTTAAGAACCAGAGGTTGCCTCTCTATGTACTCATATGGAACCTACTGAGGAACTGGCTATGTAAGATTTGGAAAAGCAGTTCCTGAACTCCATAGGGTCTATACCATTCCTGAAATTCCCACAATCATTGAGAGACATTCATTTTCCAAAAATGAGCTGATTCTTGCAGGACATTCTAACACATTCACTGCTGGTTTTTTCCCTTCTGTTTAAACCTTCAGTCCACTTTTGAGGTCTAAGTGTGATTCCACCATCCTTCTGGCCAAAGATGACTGGATGAGACTCCCTGTGGGGTCCCGCCTCAGTCATATCCCTAGACCACCCAGAATGATGTGCTTTTGAGCCACGCAAGGCATGCCCTGAAGGGAGGTACAGGCCTCAGCAAAACTCCTGTCACTGGATGCAAGAATTTGACTTGGGAAATAAAAAGAAAGGCTCACACATAACTGTGCAGAATACTGCCACCAGGTGACTGCTTTCATCCCAGACTGCTCTATTGTACTTTAAGTCAATTCATCTTCCCCTGTTTCACTTCATAAAGCCATAGCTTAAACCAAAGTTAATAATTATTTTTAGCTCTACATTTTCTTAGCTTTTAACATACAGCTCAAATTTTCTGTAAAATGGAATGAAAGTCTACATGGACAATGCCTAAAGTAGAAAATACACAAATAACTGAGCATGTACATCCTCCATATTTTCCCCTTGTAATATCTACCTGCAAATACGTATATTTTCATGGCATATGTGCTTAGCTTCCTCTATTGAATATTCTCCAACCCATTAAACATTTCAAATTTCTAGAAAAGAAACCCACTCAGAACTCTATAAATAACTACTATATGTCAGAATTATATTATCCATTACTAGTAACTAATAAAACATCTTATGGAAAATATAATTTTAGGTTTAGCACTGCAGATTTAAGGATGAAATTCTGATCTCACCATAGTAAAGATATGTTTTGTTATTAATCTCACTGTGGCCTGAAGTTCATCCAGAAAAGTGAAGAGAGCAAAATTAATGTTACATATGGCTCTTCAATTTTGCCTTTTGTATAAACATTAAGATTTTTAAAAGTGTATTTTTCAGAACTGTTTCTCAGACAATACCGTTTTTCAATACCAAACATATTTGTAGCTGTAGAAAATGGTAGCTAAACTTATACAAATATGTACTGAACGATTTACCTGTACTTCAAATGATAATTGGATGATTAATGTATTGAAATGCAGTTCAGCTTGCTATTCTGGCTCTGTAATACTAACAGGAGTAAAAGTTGCAATCTTCTTTTTGTCATGAGATTCAACAAATACAATGACCAGAGATTAAAAAAAGAGCAAAGATGTTCAGTGAAAAGTTTTTAATTTTACTTTTATTGCTGGTATTTTTTTGTAGTTGATCACACATATGTACACTGTAAAATAAATAAAAAATAAATGTGCCATTATAATTTAATGAAGCAGAACAGTTTCCGTTAAAGGTCGTAAAATCAGAAATCAGCTTTTGAGTCCTGCTGATTTCTTATGAAACTCATGCAAAGAAGTATATCAAGAAAATATTCTAGCAC